CTGCATATATCTGTCATAATCCCAAATGCAATTTGAGTCCGACTTCGGTTCATGCCAAGAACGGGTCATGACATCCATCACCAGGGGAGCGTGGTCTGCGTTACCTTTCGCATGTGAGAAATGTAAATATCGTCCAGTTCGTCGCCAAACACGTAACGTCTGAACTTGGGCCATCATGGCTTTCGGAATAGCGATGTAGTCGATCCGTGACATGGTCGAACCTCTGAAATACGTGGCCCCGTATCCCTCCCTAAAGTACGTGTTTGCCAGACACATGTAGTGCGTATTCAACATCATACGCCAGTGCGGTGTGTGCGGATCCTCCTTGGCAGCCCCACGAGGGCCTATCGCATCCTGCTGGCTTGTGTTGTGCATGTGTATCCATCGCCCACCCACATTCTGAAGCCCGCAATGAAAGTTACCATCCATCATCAATATCGGGGTACATCTGGCTGTAAGCTGAGAGAGAACTTTACTAATCCAATCTATGAGAGCGTGACAGTGTTTTCGATATGCTTCCGATTTTGGCAACAGCATACCATAAGCAGTAATAAAACAAAAGTTGTAGTGGCCCGACCAGCGGTATCGAACAGCTCCCCCTCGTCCCTGGATCTGATCGGGTGGACACCAGGCCTGCACAAATCTTTGCTTTCGAAACTTCTTCGCATCGAGGGCCAACATGCATCCAGTGCTCGTGTTCGTCCCGTCTGTGTTCTTGCTCCTCTCCTGCTTACGAAGTTTTCTCGTCGCCGAGGTGGGCCACTGCCAGACGACATACTTGCCCACTCGGGGCGATAGAACCTTCAACGTTCCGTCAAATGATGCCCGAGCCATCGCCTGCCCTGTTCCAGTAAGGCTATCACATGGCAGGTGTCTAAGCCATCCAAAACCTCTCGTAGCCCCCGATGCAGAGGTAACGCTTGAGGATTGTATTGGGCGACGCGTAGACGGGTGGCCTGGGGCGGGGCCGAGGGCTGCGCTGATGTCATCAGAGTCGGTCCCAAGAAGATGTAAGCGAGAAAGGCAACCATCAACGTGAGAACCCGCGTTCCTCGTGGAGGTGTTAGAGAGCAAGATGCCAGAATGAAAGGAGAGGCTTGCACCAGAAAGGCATCTAGGAGGAGGAGGAGGAGGAGGAGGAGGAGGAGGAGGAGGAGGAGGAGGAGGAGGAGGAGGAGGGGGAGGAGGAGGAAGAGGATGAGGAGGAGAGGGGGAGGAGGAAGGAGTAGGAGGAGGAGGAGGGATGAGGAGGGAGGAGGAGGAAGAGGAGGAGGAGGGAGGACGAGAGAGGAGGAGGAGGAGGAGCGGGAGGAGGAGGAGGAGGAGGATGAAAAGGGGGAGGAAGAGGAGGAGGAGGAGAAGGAGGAGGAGGAGATGGAGCAGGAGGAGGAGGAGGACGAGGAGGAGGAGGAGGAGGGGGAGAAAGAGGAGGAGGGAGAGGAGGAGGAGAAGGAGGAGGAGGACGAAATGGAGGAAAAGGATCGGGAGGGTTCGGTGGTATTGGAGGAGGAGGAGGAGAATGAGGAGGAGGAGGTGGATTATCAGCGAGAAGGGGGGGGTGAGAGGAATCAACGCCCTAGCTGCAATCTTTGACTCGTGGTGGCGGGGGGGAGCTTGGTACTCCGTATCAGGAATCCCACATGTGGCAATGGGTTCTCTGATCGGCCAAACAACACCCCCCGCAAAGAGCACGGGGACAGGGACTTCCCGCGCGAGACCTGGACCCAGGACTGTCGCCGGCTGTAGCTGGGCAGGCCAGGCCGGACGGAGCCCGAGGAGGTGAGGCCCAACCGGTTGCTTGGCATGCCGGCATAAAGGGCAACGAACATCAGCGCTACAGCCGACGAGGTGGCGTATCAAGGGGACGGGGGTCGGGAAACGAAAACCCTCGCCTGCGCACCCCTCGGGCCGAGAGGGCTGCGACGAGGTGCACACTCCCATCTGATGATAATCCCCATCAGCACCTACCCTGCCTTCCCAAAACTGATCGGGGCGATTATCAGCGAGAAGGGGGGGTGAGAGGAATCAACGCCCTAGCTGCAATCTTTGACTCGTGGTGGCGGGGGAAGCTTGGTACTCCGTATCAGGAATCCCACATGTGGCAATGGGTTCTCTGATCGGCCAAACAACGCCCAACGCTGAGAAAGATAAGTCCCCAAGCACCCCCAACGCTGTGGAATATAACAAAAGAAATGGTCAAAGATCAGCTGAGAGGCAGGCGTTCCTTGCACGCCTTGGCGCCTGCGTTTCTTCTCCCGCGACCAGTCAGGGAGGCGAGGCAAACAGGCGGTCGAAATCTAAGGCGGCTACAGGAGGCTCTCGTGGTGAGAACGCCTCCCACCGAGCAGCACGGATGTGAGACAATACGACGGGATCGTCGTACCCGGCGCGGCTCAGGACGTCTGCGGGGTTGTCGGAAGACGGGATCCGTTCGAACCACGGCCTGGCTCCAAGAGCCGTCAGTGCCGCTGTGGCCACGAGGGCCAGGCGACACATCGACTCAGTAGGTGACCCCGCCTTGACTAAAGCGGTTTCTGCTGCCTGGTTGTCAATGAACCATAACACGTCCCTGTTCTGCAGCAGGGATGGCATGGACCACACCAGGAGAGGGGCAGCTAGCAATTCTGCCTGGTTGATCACATGGCCTCCCTCTGAACCCAGGTGGGCAGACATATTTTTGGATACATTTCCTAAACAAGGCAAGCAGCGCACAGGTCCCAGCAAAAAGAATACAAGAGCCACCACCCCCCAACAAGGAACGCGGGGGCCTTCCACTGTCCGCAGACGCGTCTGTGTAGACTACCACTGGTGGAAGCGGGTCACACGCAATGGCTAACGACCTGGGCGCAGCGTGTCGTGCTACGGAGGATAAGTACTGGAGGCAACACCGGAGGTTCGGGGTGATCTCTACAGTGTCCTCGTAGTATTGGCGCGCAATGAGGGCGGATAAAGCGCCCCGACACGGCCGGCCAGCAAGCGAGGTGTCAAGCCATGTGCTGATGCTGCGCAGATGTGCGGCTTCGCCAGACTGGAGACGCCCAGCCAGCAAAACTTGGTTCACCTCATCCAAGAAACGGTCACGCGTTCCTAACTTAGGCTCGAAACTGACCGCCGAATCGGTTTGGATGCGGCTTAGGTCGTTTCAAGTGTCCCAAGAAAAAGGCAGCATGACGTCGTGCGCCGCGCTTTCCGTCGAGAGGCTCGTCACCAAAGGCAAGCGCCGCGAGCGCGAGTTCCTGGAAGGCCTGTTAGGGCCACCCCCGTAGGACAAGCGCAAAATTCAACGATAACGCTTATCGTCGACGTAATGTCGCCCATCACGTACAGCAAGCGGCGAGGGCCCCGCGGCGGCTATGAGGAGGAGGGGACGCCGCGTTGAATTGGTTCACCGCTGACCCCAGGCCAAAGGGCACCCCCACGCAGCCGCGTACAGGCACTCGTGTCGTGGTGGGGGGAGATGGAGGGCAACCCTGACAAAACCAAGGTTCCCTGCGATCGGTGGGGACTTAATGGCCGGTTACCCTTTCCACCAATCTCCACTGACGCGACACGACTTGGAACCACTCAGGAAGCGAGGGGGCCGTCTTGCGTAAAAACTGGAGGGCCAACGCGCCGGCCCCCGGGAAGCGGCAGCTCTGGCGGAATAGTTACGAGCGTCTCTGATAGGAAAGATAAGGCGTTGGTGCGAGCCCTTTTCCCATCATCGATTCGTCGCCACTTGTCGCCCTGCCATATAGCGTGGCGCGGAAGCGGACGATAACCCCCAGGCCCAAACCGAAGGTCGAGCTCGCGACGCGTCACAAATGGGTCGGCGAGCCCAGCCTTGATTTCTTCCACTGTCAAGTCGTAAATGACCTTCGTCAGGGGGCCTGGGCGCATGCTCTGTCCCATGCTGTCCACGAATCTCCGCGCAGATGGTCCCCGCAACGTCTCGGACGGCTGCTGGGGCGCATTGTGCCCAGTAGATTTCGTGGAGCATGGGCGGAGGGCGCCAGAGGCAGGGACCTCCGCGGCTATCTCGAAGCCGTGGACCAGTCTGGTTGGCAGGCCCGTGTCAGGCCAATCCAACAGCACGACGAGCACCGCTGCGAATACAGGCGAAATTCCTGGCGCGCCTGCGATGCTGACATGTCGCTGCTGCAAAGCAAACTCGTCCAGGGGGCGGAGTGCAGCAGCAAACCGCACTAGCAATTTTCGCCGGTGCCGCCGCTGATCGCGGACGCGGGGTCCAAGCGAAGCGTTGGCGTGGACGGCAAATTGCAGATCGAGCTCCAGACTGGGTGGGGCCGCGAATGGATGCGACAGAAGCAACGCCCTGCGGACATGCTCATCCGGATCCACACCGTGTTCTACGAGGCCGGGAAGAGCCCGGTCGGAGGCCGAAGGGCGATGTTGCCGAGCAGCCGCGGCGTGCATAGGCGACTTGGACCACAATGCCTG